GAGAGAGAGAGAGAGGAGGCTATCGGATAATTAAATCGGCCGCGGCACGTAAAGGACACTGATTGACGTGCGCGACGGCTACGTTCTCTCATTATTATTCGTCGAAACGACATAATTCGCGCGTTTCGCTTTTCGACGGACCGTGCAACGCTAAACGCGTCGCCCGGCCGATGGTGTGCGTTGCTTTCCCGTCTCGCTCGTCGACGCGAAAGGCCATCCACTATCGTCGTGCCATTCGTTGAACGTTGAAAACGACGAGATATCTCAAGTTCGGGGAGGGAAAAAAAAGTTATCGCTTTGATTTTGACGTTTGTAATATCGGACACATTATTTTTCGGTATTTCCATATTTATTAGACAGATGTGTTTCCGCCGTGTCGATAAGCATCGCTTATAATTACGGAGAGAGAGGTAGCTATTCCTCAAATATAAATCTGTTTTTACGACGGGCCGACATTCTCGTTGTATCGGTCTGTTAACGGATTTGTCGGAAAATGCCAAGCGGCACGTCGTTGTCTGACGTCTGCCGTTCCGTTCCGTTCCACGGGCGAAAGCTGATAAATTAATTGGATTGACCGTCGTGACTTGTCGCATACAAATCGGATCAGCGATTCCGTTGCGATCAGCAACGTTTGCCAATTTGCATTAACTCCGCTCTTCCGTCCGTTAATACGGTAGACGAGAGAATCTACTCGTGTTACGTCGCATTTAAAAGTCACTTGCGAAAGACGAACGTACGTATATGCGTATACACGTGTTTATGTACGTATTTTCGCAAATAACAAGCAGACGAGCGAGATGCCGCGACGATGTCTGGTACAACGCCCGCCGATCCCGGGCTTGAGTCGTTTAAAGATATTGCACGCCTGGCGCGCAAATCCTACGTGTAATTCGAACATACACGTGCGATAATGCGTGCGAAGAGAGAAGCCCTTCACGAAGCCGTGAAGATTAATAAAACACGTTGCGGCGGCTACGAGCAGCTACGAGAACTACCACGCGTTAAGATACATCTACTTACAACGTTTCCTTTGGAAGCACGCTTTCTAACAAAATATGTTTATATATATAAAAGATTCTAACACGACGACGATACGCAAATTTTAAAAAAGCTAGAAAATTTGAAGATGAGTAAATTACTTCGCGTTTGTATTCCTTGTTAATTTTAAATTTTCCTCACTTAAAAAACCTATTACTCGAACACAATTCTGCTGATTCTTCCGCTACGGAAAATCGCGTTGTATATTCCACGTACACTCTAAATTTTGCGACACCCCGTACACGGGGCTGGCTATTTCGCGCCACGTACGATCAATTAGTGCAATAACGCGTCCGAAAGTTGATCTTTATTTTACGAGTTTTGGCACGATTTTCATTATATGGGCTCGCGATCGCCGACGAAGTCGTTAGCGGCCGTCCGCACGAAAACGCCGCGATTCCGGTATTCCTCGACCGCCGCCGAAATCTAGATCGTACGACGCGGCGGAACGATCGAGGGAAAAGAGAGAGAGGGAGAGGGAGCTATATTCCGGCCTTTTACGAGGCCATAGTGGCATATCCGTTTTGCGGGGCACGACGTGCAAAACGATCGATAACACGCTCGTAACGTTATTACCAACAGGTATACGGAGACGGGTAGCACCGGTACTACCGGCAATAATGTGGCTTTTACGTTCGTGGACGCCGATACAGCAACCACCAAAATCAGCTGCGACGTTTGCTACAGCGTGTACCGCGTTGAAAAAACGGCGTACCTCGAAATATATCATAAAAATACAATCATAATTGGTATAAATATAATGAAAGAAATAATATGACATTTGTAGCACGATGCCCTGATTTAAATTATTGTCTAGGATTATTTCTATTCTAGCAGTTTAAGTATAAAAGTTTAATTTTTGATAATAGCAATCACTAGTTTTAATGTGTTTGAATGCACGTACATAATTTCGAAATTTTTCTTTTTTAAATAACAATCTCTTTAATCATCGAGTTAACAAATTTAATGTTATTTTATATTTACATTTATTACATTTTATTTCGTATGTATAACGCGATGATAAATGAAATTTGAATTACAAGATGAACAAATGGAAATTATTAAATCAATTAAACTTTGAGTCGGTTTATATTGTTATGATTATGTGTCGAGGTTTTCCCGAACAATTCGAAATATATTCGAAAATTATTATAGTGTGGAAGAAAAGCCTTGCGAGTTTGAAAGAGGGTCATAATTTGACAATAATTTCTACGATAGAAAAAAATTAACGGTTGATGGGAGAAACAGAGAAACTTATATTAAAATTTAAGATTTACCCCGCGTTAATCATCGGGATGTAATGCGACTTTTTGTTATCGCGAAGCGTACATCTAAGTACAGACAGTATTTTTTTGCTCGACTTTGCGTATCGATTTCGAGTTGCAAGTTTGCGGAACAACGGAGTCTCTCGGAAATAAATCGGAGGGTCTTATGGGGGCTTTAATGGCGTTAAGGGATTACGGCGCATTGATACATTTAATGGCGTTTTTGTGTTGCAGGGTCCACCGCAGCCTGGGCAGCCGTTCAAATTTTCGGTAGGCGAGTCCTGCGATCGTATCAAGGAGGAATTCAATTTCTTGCAAGCTCAGTACCACAGGTATCTTTCTTTTTTTTTATTTACAATCTTATCCTCTTAAATTTTCAGTCAATTGAAGATGTACGGTGTTACCTTAATTACATTTAATACGAACGCGTGATTTATCATAAAAAGACTGTTAAAAAAATAATCTGTTAATTAATCACGCGATTATTAAACGTACATCTCTATTGTCTGAAATCGCCAACGATGTGAATTTTTGTATACATTTTTTTTTTCCTCCGGGTTAAAAATATTGTGTTCTGGTTACTGAAATAATAATAAAGTATCATATCGTGGAAATTGATATTGATATAACTTGTCCCAAAGCTTTTACGCGATCTCATTGATGTTTTTAGAACAATTGTCGGGTTTCCATTTCCTCGACGAAAATACATATTTTCCCGCGGATAGTTAAGCGTGATGTAAACTCCATTCAGCGGTCAATAGTTTGCCGAACGGAGTAAACGTTCGCGTCCGTGGACACCGCAGGGCCGTATCCGTTAGGCGCTCGTGCAAATACCGCGTGGGCGCGCACGCGAAACGCACTGACCGATGTACGGACCGATGTACGGACGTAGGCAGATAATTGTTTGTCCGACCGGAAGCTGTGCATAGCGAAGTATGCGCATGGAGAAGGAGCGAAGACCCCTCGCGTTTGGATAGCGTGCCTGTGTGCGGCGCATACACGTGTCTGCGATCGAGGCAAAAAGGTCTTCTCAGAAATCGCGCATCGTGGCTCTTTGCCGAGATTCAGAAGCGGAAAACTCGCTGGCGCATTATTATTAGTTTCGTCTGTTATCGGGATTTACGTTTATCCCTTTCGTCGATACGTTAAACTCTCCGCGTTTTCCGGTTTGTGGAAAATGCATCCGATATCGTCCCCCTCCCTCCTCCCTTCCCTCCCTCTCTTCTTTTCACGGGGAAGGTTAGATGTTGGAGGATGCAAGATGACGCAACGGGAAAAAAATAATTACAATAACGACGCCGCGTGTGTCCGAGCAAATAAAATATCTATGTCGCTTTAGAAAACAAACCGCGAGATGAGAAGCGACATTCATAAATTTCGCGGATCGAGATATTAATCACAAACGGAAAGGGAAAAACGCATCCGACCGCGTGAAACGGAGAGCTGTATCTCGGCCACGTGTAGCAGGCGCGCGCATTCAAGCGCGCAACGTGATTTCCCGATAAATCGTCCCCCGGTAAATCGTTGGCACGGCGTCAATCTGAAATAATTAATCGACTTTCTGATCGTACGAGTATTGCCGTTTGCGTAACGAGAGTTATCGCTCGCGCGAGCGTGATCGTTAATACCGCGCTAATTTATCGCCTTATAGGTGAGATTACGCCGCGCGTATAGCGCGATTCGCCTTTCACGAATATTAAACGCCGCGTCGGGATTTACCGCGCGTGCATTTTATCTCACTTCCGCGAATTAAACCGAATTAAAGACACTTGGCGTCCCGTTCGAGTTCCGTTCGAGGCTTCTAAAGTTTCTCCTTTAAAAAAGAAAACCGCCTTCCCGAAAGAAGGAAATTTGAAGTCTTATTATCGCGTTCAACTCGATGACGAAATCGATGATAAAACTCCGTCTTTTACTCCGTTCGTTACAGTTGAAGCTTTTACCGTTGTACCGTTGTCTCTTTATTTTCTCCCCTTCGCGATATATGGCGCGCGTTGTACGGCACGTTTTTAACTTAATGTCGCGACGAAGAACGACGAGCGGAGGGACAATGGCTCCGACGATTTCGAGGGCTGGTGGATATTAATGCTCTGTTCTTGTTCTTCTTACACAGCCTTAAATTGGAGTGCGAGAAACTGGCCAGTGAAAAAATAGAGATACAGAGGCATTACGTGATGGTAAGCCGGGAAAAAAGGTTGAAAACGTAGAAAGGGGCAGCGCGTTTACTCACCCATGTACACACACTTACACACGCATACAAGGCCATACGAATCATTCTGCCCAGTTGTTCCCAGATTAAAATGCATTCGTTTTCGTCGCGCTCGAATTCGAGAGATATCGCCCGGTCGCGGTCGAGCTGTTTCAATTCTCGCGAAATAGCGAAGAACCCTAAAAGGGAGGGAAATTATTAAAAACCAATTTGATTTTACTCGGAATGAATTTCGATTTGCGTGATAGCATACACACGTATACGTGTACGTGTGTGCCTGTAACGCTTTTATTACACGTAGGAGTGCAATTAAAAGGAAAACGACTACGGATCTTCAAAGTAATGTCAGAAGTATAATTTCAGTTGGGGGTTGGGTGGGGGTGGACGAGATGGAGGGGGAGGAGAGAGAGAG